GCAGTTCCTCCAGGAAGGGGATAACTCTCTTTGGCTGAGGGGAAGCAGAATGATGGGGGTTGACTTCACTTCCATCTGAGCGGTTGAAAACCAGTTTGTGGAGGTGCAAAAGCAGCATCTGGAGGAGGCGATCACAACCTTCTCTGACTCCTTCATGAGGAGATGGTGTAGGGCCGGAGATGATGACAGAGGCCGGGGTAGCTGTGTCAGCCAGAAAACGGAGGACCCTGGCTCCTCCGGATTGACTCTGGCTAATGAGGTGGACAGCAAGCCCCAGCATATTATCGAGTTCCTCTCTCGGGAGGCCCTGAAGCAAGGCCTGCAGCTGGAGCAGGACAGGAGGGCGTAGCAGCTCTACAAGTTCTGCAGACAAAGCACCAAAGAGGTTGGGGGACATGGCAGCTAGCTGCAGCAGAAATGGTACTGCAGCATGACGGAGTTGGGGTGAACTCTCCCAAGAAGTAGAAGATGTTGTAGGAGATAGAGGGCTTGATGGACTCAGGCTTTCCTGAAACATCCTGAGTAGCTCCTTCCTGATGCTGTCTGAGTGGTGCACTGCAAGGTGTCCAAGGATTCCAACTACTGAGCCAATCTTAGGCACCCTGCTGCCTTTATCTGTTCCCATCACCATTAGCCCCTGGTCTTTAGCACCATGAGAGCAGAAGTCCTTGAGTCCACATGCCAAGACTCGGCTGATGATAGTACCTGGGAAGGCGGAGCCGATGTGAGCCACCACCCAGTCAAAATGAGGAGAGTGCTGAACTGAGGTGTCCAACAGCGCATCCACACAGGCATCAGGGCACCAAGCCAGCATGGCGGACAAACACTGGGAGTACGCCTCCATGAGGGACCGAGTCGCAGCACATGACATCCAGAGCTGGAGCAGTTCGTTGAGGCTGGAGGAGTGGGGGGCCACCCTGCGGCCAGCATGTTTGCTGCTCAACTGACCCAACAAGTCCACAGCCCAGGCGGACACCAGAGGGGCCCAGGCCCGTGGATTGAGACGGATGAACTCTGACAGCACACCATGAACCTCCTGCAGACAAATGGAAATGATGGTTACCATGTTCTTAACAATTTCCGGACAATTGCAGGTGATTAGATTGGGAACGATCTGGATCTGTTACTCTCGTTGGTCATTTAAACACTGACGATGGGCATATGAAACAACACTCTGCTGATTTGACAGAGAACCTCAAATGTGTTTCTTCATCTTGATACCAGTAAATCAAACTTTCATCAAATGAACTTCTGGTTTAAAACAAAGTCACCAGGGCCTAAATTAACACTTCTAAGTCATGGTTAGCAATTGCTTAGATTTAGAGAAGTCAAAATAATCTCCTAAAGTCAAAGTGAAAAGGTTTTGTTTTGTCTTATTATTTCTGACATTTCAGTTTAAAAAAAAAGTCTGAAATTATAAAGGGCAAACACCATCATTAAAATTGTATGTAAAAACAAAGTAGTAAATCAGGACTCAATGAAAATAGCTGTGATATTAATATCTTTACTAGCTCCAAGATAAGGTGATAGTGTTGTGTCTAATGTGTGTCCTTGTTAAATTTGCACCTGTATGATGTCCTCCAGGTTGGAGCTGACCCCAGCGCTGGCATCACTCTCCGTCTCCAGGTTGTGCAGGAACGCTGAGACGTGCTCATTGTAAACACCTCTCAGATGCTCCAGCACGGCCCCTCGGCAGGCTGGGACTGAGCGGAGAAGGCGCACAGCACAGCGGGCATGTTCCCTGACACTGAGCTTCCGACCCTGAACAGTGTCAATGCCACTTATGAAGGACTTGATCTCCTGGGACAGTTCCTGAGCACTAGAAGAGGCAGGACACACAGTAATGAACTGATGGACAAAGAAGAACATTTAGCAGAAGCAGACAAAGGTATAGAAGAAAAAGAATAATTAAAATCAGCGTGTCTGTGTGTGTGAGAGAAGGGAAGCTTTTCTTCAGACTATGTGTAAGATTCTATTTGTTAATCAGAGTCAATCAGAAAGAAAGATGCTTTCTAATTTTACATTGGTACAATGATTATTTGTTAAGTCTATGAAATGTGAGAAAAAGTCACAACTTCCCCGAGCTCAGAGAGACATCCTTAAACTTCCAGCTGTGTCCAACCAACAATCCAAAATAAAAATATGTCTCAGCTAATGTCATGTCAGGAGCAAATACTCCAATGGAGACGATGAAACATCAAATTGGCATCACTGCATCAAAAACGACTGTCCGATACATTATCAATTATACCTTTTTATAGTGTTTTTTTAGCTAAATCTAATTACAGAATTATGATAACCTAAAGGCCTTTAAATCCAATTGCCGGCCTTTCTGTCATATCGTCATGATACGAAACTGTGAAATATCTCACTGTGTGTTCATCAGATTAGATTAGACAGCAGAGATGTGGAACCTTCTTCACCATTTTGACACATTTAAAAAAAAAAAAAAAAACTGTCTGATCAAACTAAAGATCAACAGAGAAAGGCAGTACTACATTACCATAAATAATGTCCATTAAATATTGATTTCACCATTAATCCAAGAAGATGGATTTATGGGGTCAAAGTTATCAATCACATGAGACATGTAGAAAAAGGGGGGGGAGGGTTATTGATTGATTTAGTTAGATTTTAGAAATGAATCACTCAATATAAGTAAGTGAAGTAATTCTTAGTTCTACTGAAAGTTTAAAACAAACTTTTCTATAAGAACAAGCTTATCTTGAATTATTTTTTTTACCTACTGCAATTGCACTTTATAACGACTCCCCTTTAAGTAAGGACATTTAAACTTTTTAAACTTTAGCCTGAGTTGCATATATCATATATCAAACTGTATTGTGGGCTCATGTTTTTTTTGTATGGGTGGGATATGTATGTATATATGTGTTGTGTTGTGTGTTTGTATGTATGCTGGCTGCTGGAACACCTAAATGTCCCTGCTGGGATGAATAAAGTATATCTTATCTTTATCTTTATCTTCATTATTCAATTTGGTTTAGGATGAGAAGTACTCAATGTATCCGTGACGCCGATTATTCATTTAGTCACTTTCAACAACAGAACTGACTCCACAGACACGTGTAGTTACATTACCACATTTATATCCGTGCGTGAACTTAAATTCGACTTCAAAACATATAAGTAAGTGGTTTAAGAGTCTAAATGTTGACTACTTCCTCTCCATTAGCACTCACCTCAGGGCAGCCTGCGGGGTGAGAGAGTGTGAGCTCTGCATCGCTTTCAGCGGACTCCCGTCAAACACCACAGACATCGCTTGGTCTTCAAACATGTAAGGGTCACATCAATTCTCCGCTCAGTTTCCTGACGTCGACGCAAGCGATTCTTAGAGGGTGTGTTTTTTTTTGTGGTTTTTTTTTTTGTTATTTTCTCTGCTGCTCAGATTCAGAACAAACATACAAGGAAAGGTTCGCTTCAGAGCCGGATGTAAAGACTTCTTCGTGTTTCCAAAAACGCAAACCGTCGAAGACAGCTGACGTCACTGGTGACATCTAGTGGATGAAACTGTATTGATCCCCCTAAAGGAGGGATGGGGAGATCCGACCCCTCCCCGTACTGTTCCTATTGGATAGCCCGAAACAAGCAAGTCAACACCATCCAGCAGAAATAGAAATAGGTCTACTTAGCGCTGTTCACTTGTCTATTAAAGTCTATAGGCTACATTAAGGATAAAAGAAAAGGCTCTACTGGACTGATATGGGCTTTCATGATATCAAGACTTTCTCAGCAAACAGCTCGACACTTTTGCAAAAATTGATCAGCATCAGTGTTATTTATCAAAGTATTTAGGCTCAAATTGTGTATGTGTTCTGTTTACTGTGTTGGCTATTTTACAGATAATGAAGCCACAAGACAGATAAATCTTTTTTACTACTTTGTGATGGAGTCACCTTTTGATTTCCATTGAGGTAGACCACAGAGCCTTTTTATTTAAACAAGTAACTTGCTTGTGCAGTTTGACATGATGCATTTAATGCATATATATATATATATATATATATATATATATATATATATATACACAATAACATAACACGATATAACAATATCATCATCAAAAAAGCAACAAGAAAGAGAGGACTTTCCCAGGAGAAGTTATCATGGATAAAGTTTGGAAGTCTTGTATATGGTTTTCTGATTATAAGCTACAGGAGGTTTTATTTATTTGTCTTTTTTTTTTGTACATTTTGCACAATTTAGAATTTATTACTGTAAATATTATTTATCTTATTTTACCTGATTTTATTTGATCTATTTTACCTTATTTTGGTTGTATTGCACCGTGGGACGGAGACAAACTGTATGTCTGGCATATTTTGAAATTGACAATAAAGTTGACTTTGACTTTGAAAAAAAAAATTACTTCTTAATAATAATTATTATTTTTGTATTAATAATTAAACAATAAAGCTTTAAAACAACAACCCTCTATTTATATTTATTTATTTATAGGTTTATATTTGTACTTCATGCGCTCATCCGGCAGATGGTGCTGTTTGTGTCACGTCAGACAATGCCCATCTGATGTCCGCCCAGGATATCCAAAAAGACAGTGATGAGGCTTTTATCTGACCCAGGCCCATTCCGTGATCCGCAGCGAGGGTTATTGGAGTCAGTCGATGTTAAGCAAGGAAAGGGGGGGGGGTAATTGGCTCCCTGTGGACACTTGTGGGGCAGAGATTCCGTAGATCTGAGAACTATTGAACTAATGAGCTGATGACTCTCACCTGTGTGGGGAGTTGGGGAGCGTCAGGATTGTTTTGAAGAGAGGCATTGTGTGGAGGAGAGGGGGACAAAGACGGACGGAACGGCTGTTGTTCGGGGCTGTGGCTTTGTCACTAAAAACGATCAGGGGATACGTGTGCTGGCCGTGACTTCTAGTGTTGCGGCAGTGAAGACAGTTAGATAGGAGAGTTGTTCCTGCGCCAGGTGGGGGGGTGGGGGGGGCTGGAAGTCTCCTTTAGGTAGTAAGTGCCTTTGCCGAACCCACTAGACTGTTCTGTATACAGGTCACGCACAGAGGTCACGCACAGAGGTCGCATGCATCTTCTCCTCGCTGTGACTGTGTGGGGGTCTCATCGCCAGACCAGACGAGTTAAGTCAATTATCTTATTCATGTTTATGTTTTTTTTGTTAGTCTCAAGTAAGTTTTGCGTGTAGGCCTATGTCATTAAACCTAATTTTAATATTTGATGCGCTAGTAATACCCAGTCTGGGTCTTAATTGAGGGTAGCTTTCTGCCTCCCGCTATGGTTTGAAGTGGTTTTGACTGTGTGAGTGTGAAGTGGTCCCTAGTTGTTGGACCGTGCATGCTTTCACCCTTTCCCGTAATTGTGCTGTGCAATTGATTGCTGTGTATTAGTGTGCAGTGTCTCTTAATGGTGCGTTTATCCTCAATTGTTGTGTTTTTTAGGGTCGTAGCGTGGCTACCATGGCCAGGTTGGGTTTACCTCCGTGGGCCTCACTTAACCTATGAGGCGCCGATTGTAAAGTTGCGCACACTCCAAACAACATTTCTCCACATTTAGCCCTAAAACATCACTTTTTATTCAGATTTAGAGAAATGTTTGTGAACTTTGTCAAATTTACTTTTGTGAAAAAAATGTAATGTTATTTTCATTGGCAAATATAAATGTTAAATATATCTAAATGTTGAATGTTTTATCTAAATGTTAAATGTAACTGTTAAAAATACATGTCCTGATTCCAAATACTTAGCTACGTTTCTAAACATTTAGTTTACAGTCTATATATTTAGTTAAGACTGTAAATATTTATAATCAAAGCTAAATATATAGAATATAAACTAAATATTTAGCAACGATTTCTAAATATTGACAATGATATGCAAATTCACTGTACCGCCCACCGGAAGCACCAAAATAAAAGTTTGAGGAAGCGATCCAACCATTGTCTCCTACAGGAGACTGGCGGGATTCAGAAAATGTCGAACGAATTAGCGGAAGATCCTGTGGCCGACACCGAAGAAGTAGTGCTTTGAAAACCCTGAATTGCGGCCAAAACGGCCCTTCCAATATTGTCCGCTAATTCGTTCGACATTTTCAAAATCACGCAATTTCAAAATTGGATCGCTTCCTTGAACTTTATTTTGGTGCTTTCGGTGGGCGGTAGAGTAAATTTGCATATTAGCTAAATATTTCGAAATCGTTGCTAAATATATAGGATCAAAGCTAAATATTAAAAATGTAAACTAAATGTTTAGAAACGTAGCTAAATATTTAGAATCAGGACATGTATTTTTAACATTTATATTGAACATTTAGATATAATATTTATATTTGCCAATGAAATTATCTTGCATTTTCATTCACAAAAGTATGACAAAGTTCACAAATATTTCTTTTCATGTGAATAAAGTGATTTTTTTTTTTTTTTTTAAAGGGCTAAATGGGGAGAAATGTTGTTATTTGTAGTGTGCGCAACTTCACAATCGGCTCCCCATATTAATCCCAGGGGGTTTAGCCGTTGTTTAAATTAAATAATATTGTTAATAAAGTCTATATTTCTACAACTAAAAGTGTGGTGTGAATTTGTCTTTTTAGGTTAGGATTTAAAAATACTGTCATGATTTGCTCGTTAAGTAGTCAGAGTAGTTTAACTAGCTTCTGAAATATTTAAAATCAAATAATAATATTGGAATTACACTACAAATATAGAAGGGCATATTTATTTGCATACATTTCAATTGTAGAACATGTATTTTCTTGTCTATCCATTAATTTAAGTATTTATAAACCTTAAAACTCCTGTCGCAGATTAGACAATCCACAAATTCTGAAAACATTTGGCACAGGAAACTAATGTGTCATTTTACCCATGAGCACAATATCATAAAGTTTCTTCTGATTTTATGAGGAGACTTCTTGGGGATTTCATAATGACATTGTTTCTTGATATTGTGTATCTTTAATATGAAAATATGACACAAGTCGAACTAAAACTTTTTTAAAAAAGGTCACACATTACCCTTATCCACCCTACAATTTTGCTTATCGTGAAAACATAATTTGACGATCCTATAATTTTAATAATTAAATTTAGTTTCAATGCACTTGTAACACTATCTCTACAAGGGACGGTCCGGACCAGGTCCTTATTGTTAGAGAGGTTGAATTCTTAAGTAAATTATGGAGGTCCAATCACATCTTTTTAATCAATTTTCTATTAAGTTAATACAATTTTTATTTTTTATTTTAGTTAAATATTGTATTTTGACGTTATTGTTATGTAAGGAACTCACGATGCATGGTACATTTTGACGTTTCGAATCGGGCTTTTATTCTGAAGGTCTTCTGCTAACAGGAGCAACAATCAGCTGATCTCTCACAGCTGAGCGCTCACAGCTGAGCTTTGGTGGCGTCTCTGAAAAACGAAGTGAGGACACGTAAACACGTAAGATGACAGACTGTCTAACACTTTTTGTTACTAGACTTTGGTTTCAATCTACGGTCGATTTTACAATGCTACCTTAGTTAATGGCCGATGTAACATGCGTTTTAACAAGAATTTAGGGATGATGTAAAGCCCTGACCGGTTCAAGCTAATCGATGTGCTGCCTTGGTGTTTCGCTTTCGGATTGTTTTGTCCGATTTAACTTAAAACTTACGGAAAATAACAACAGCAACAATTTTCACATTTGATATCCTAACGAACAGAATCAAGAGCGAACATGCAAAGATACAAAGTATCCTGTTTTTTTTCCTTCCTGTAACTTTTACTCTTGTATACTAAAATTTGGTGATAACATCTTTGTTTTTTCATGCAGGTCCTGAACGTCATCTTGAGACATCTTGAGTGAAACCTGTTATTGCTTTAGAGACAAAAGAAACACTGACATGGCCCCCACACTGGTAAGGGAGAGATAAGATAATTAGTAGCCTACATAGTGTTGTTGTTTTTTATATTATGTGTACATTTAATAACCCTGATAGAATGTGTACAAGGTATAGTTATAAAGTATGTCATTAAAAGGTTTCTCTTTTTTAATAACTATTATGTCCAATATAGCCTAGTTCAGTTGTTGCTAAACCGATTCTGTTGTGAGCCATTTCTGTGCGTTTTTGTTTTGTTTTTGGGCGGCTGTGGCTCAGTTGGTAAAGTTGTCGCCTCTCAACCCGGAAGGTCGAGGGTTCAATCCCAAGCTGAGCAACATGTCCGATGTGTCCTTGGGCACTTAACCCTGCGTTGCTCCCGCTGCTTCTGTGGCGGTGTATGAATGGATTAGTGTTGTACTCATTCTCTGATGTACGTCGCTTTGGATAAAAGCGTCTTCTGAGTGAATTGTAACTTTTTTCTTTTTTCTTTATCCAAGTACGACAAGAAACCAGAGATAGGTGACTTGATTGAGATCTTCCGTGGGTCGTATCAGCACTGGGCTGTGTATGTTGGCGATGGGTTTGTTGTTCACCTGGCACCCTCCTGTAAGTCCCCCTTACTGTACACATAACTGTCAGCACTGCTTCTTTAATGTAGACTAATCTTTATGACAGCTGAAATGTTTTGGTTTAAAAGATTTAGGTTTCAATCACTGAAAACAACTACAAAAAAAAATATTTTTGAAGAATTGTTTTCATATTTAAAAAATATATACCTGTATTATTTTAACTGTTTTATTTCATAACTTTTTTCTTTTTAGCTGAGGTCCCTAACGCAGGTGCCAGCAGCATGATGTCCGTTCTAACGGAGAATGCGATGGTGAAGAAACAGGAGCTGTGGGCTGTGGTGGGAACCAACAAGTGGAAAATCAACAACAGCCTCGATGATAAGTACGAACCTCGCCCTGTTCACATCATTGTGAGGGAGGCCTCGGCCCTTGTGGGCGCTGAACTGCCGTACTGCGTCTTCAGGGGAAACTGTGAGCACTTTGCAACTGAACTGCGGTACGGAAAGGCCGAGTCCCGGCAGGTATGTGCACCCAATGTTGGCTGTTTACATGTGAGACTGTTTGTTTGTTTGAGGGGCTGCAGCTGCAATGATCAGAACGGAATTGGATATAGTGCGTGGAGACGGTCACTACCACACAACAGTTATTCATCACGTTGGAGATTATGATTCTGCCTTTAACTTAAGAAAAAAAAAGAACTTAATGAGTCATAGCACTGAATTATATCAGCAAGCAATCAGTTTCTTTGAAACAATTCAAATTAAGATGAGTTATCCAGCTGTCTCTTGTCTAATAATATATCCATCCATTATCTCTACTGCTTGTCCTGTTTGGGGTCAATGGGGGGCTGGAGGTGATCCAAGCTGTTACTGGGTGAGAGGTGTGGTACACCCAGGACTTTTTGCCAGCCTACTTCATAATAGAAAAGGGAATCTTGGGTATAAATGTACTGATATGTGATTTTCAGATTTGTGTTCTCCACACTTTCTTTAAAGTTGTATGTTTCCCTCTATAGGTTCGTAAAGCAGGTGAAACAGTCATGGTTGCAGGCCTGACTGCAGCTGCTATTTTTGGCTTCGTTGCTCTGGCTGGAGCTTTCTTTGGAGAGAGCAAAGAAGAGAAGAAGAACAAGCAGTGATTCAAGTCCCACATGCCTAATGAGAGGCTTTATTAAAAGATCACCAGCAGAGCCTAACTGATACTTATGTTTGGAAAAAGAAAAGGTCTTCATTTGAGCAAGCATCTTTAACTATGTGAGGAATTTGGGTGTCTTGCATCAACAACTTACGTAAATCACCTTCTGTCCTTTCTTCCTTTCTTCGCCTTGAATAACATTTAAGACTGGTTGGTTTAGGATTAATGCACAGTATTTTTCAGCTTTTTTAGATCTTCTAAACACAGCACAACAAAAAGTATTGGTATTTCCACTCATTTAGGTGCCAAAGTAAAGTAGGTTTAAATATTTCAATAACAATATTTGGGGGGTTTGAACATGACATATCTTTTGGATTGTAGAACATTTGAGGGTCACACGCCTCAGCGCTTTTATATTTACTAATGAAATAGTTTGTTGGTGGTTGTGGAGGAATGTTTGTTACTTAACACTAATAGAAATGTCTCTGTAATCTTAATAATGATTACAGAGACACATCAGAAGTACGACATATTATTTATTGCACACTTGTGAACTGAGTCATTATTTATTTTCATTGATCTCATCTGCATTGTTCTTATGAAATGTTGAGTTGACAGTGTAATTGCAATTTATAAAAATGTAGTCTCTCTGACTTTTAATTGTTTTTCAATAAAGACGTATTAATTATGAGCCTGGATAGTTGTCTTTTCGGTAAAGTGTCCCCTCACTCAGGATTGTATTCTCGAAAACCAAGCAGACCCTGAAAGCAGTCTTGAGTCTCATCACCCACCGACATCTGTGTGAAGAAAAAAAAAACCTCACGGAATAATTAGTAAAGACGATCTTAGGTTCATCAGTTACCACCGCCCTCCTGTCAAGACATGATAAGCTGGTTTCATTTGAATGTTACTGAAACCTAAAAATGATGCAACAGTTTCACTTTTGCTGCCTCACATGCATTGCACTAATCCTTCATTGAGATGAGGCAGCATGTTGAAGAGGACTTTCATAACTAACACCCTCTGAAACCTAACACCCTATCACTCTTAGTGTTCACAAAATAAGATAACACATCAAGTTGAAGATACCTTTTATTGCACCACAACTTACAGTGTATCATATACTTATGGCAGCATGGCTGAGTTCGCTTCATGCATTAAAACGTTTGAACTTTGAACACATCATCCATTGTACCACTGTCAGCATTTTATCCCCCCAAGGATTTGAACGATAATTCTCAGATTTCTTTGTCAACATCTTGATACAAATGAAGTATATTTCATCTGGGGTCCTTATAGTTTTTTTTCTTAATTTTGGGGTTTTACTGATGGAACAGCTATAGACTGGACATGTGGAGAGAGAGGGGAACGTCATAAACCAAACATAAGCCAAGATCTGGAGATGAACCTACGACCAGTGCATCAAGGACTTTAGCCTCTGTAAACTGGCCATCTACTCTACCAAATGAGCTAAACCAGCAGCCTGTAACAGTGTTTTTAAAGTACCAAAGTCATTTCTCTTCAGAGTCACAACCCGAAGTGAATGATGACAGAAGCAATTCATATTAGGAATTTCTTTGAGTCAATTCCCTACATTATTTTCTGAAGCATTTGCAAAGGAGGATTACGAATACAGCTATTTAAAGTTTGAAGCAGGTTTGGAGGAACTTCCATGTTGTGTTGATTTTGTCAGCCAATGTGGAAAAACCATGGCGCTATTTCTATACTGATCCTGTCCTGTGCGTAGTTTTCCCTGAAGAAATGTCCCTTCATATTCTAAATACTGAAAAAAGGTAGACAAAGCCTCTTTAGATCTGCTGGCTGTATATTGCTTTGTGTGAATCTAACATGATGAAAGTGGGATAACTGTACATAAACAGTAACCTTGAAGCTATTTGGTCAGCTTTTGTAGGTTATATAGAGGCATCACTATCAATTCTAGTTAATTTCATAACCACTTATTAAATCCAAATGGGTCTGAAGAAGAAACAGTTTTTTTTTTTTTTTTTAATATTTATTTTGAGAATAGCTTACATGCTACATTATTTGGATTTTCTGTAAAATGTTGCATCCTGCATTCCACAAGCACGGGTCACTTCTTACCTACCCTGATCCCCAAACGACTCAACATGAACTCAAGGGGTGGTGGTTGTTTATTTTTGCCAGGAGCCATCTAAAGAGCTTATGGTGTTCAACACAAAAACCCAACAGTAACACGTCCAACACGAACAGGATATATGGGTCACACTTTGATGGATACACACAGTTTGGCATTGGGAGACAGTTCTGGTCCATGTTTAAAAATGTCTATTTAAAACTGTGAGTTCTTGGATCTGCAATCACTTAAAGGCACAAAAAGAGTAAAAGCAATTTACAATCTCTCTTACCCTGGCATCGCACGATAACGTTAAAAATAACTGATTTGCAATACTTCTTTTTTTTTTTTTCCAGGAGATCTGCAGGATCATGCAAGTATAAATGCATGGCAATCCTCCCAAAGATTTCAAAATAAGACTGCTATGATTTCACAAACCCTCCACATCTGCACTTCCCAGCTCAAGATAAAAAGGAAACGACATATGAACACATTGATTTTTGTTTGAAATTATTTCACCAGCCTCAATTTGACTACTTATCACCATTAATGTCTGCAGAGAATGCAACACGTTCATACCAGACCTGATATCAGCCATTTCTGTCACCTGTCACACCAGTGAAGTACAGGAAAATACAGTGTTGTATGTGCAAAGTAAACTCAAATTGTATCTTTTCCATGTAACCTAGTGTTAACACAAATACACACTTACATGCATAGGTTGATTTTAACTCTTAAATCTATAGTGACAGCTGAACTCAAACATTGATGTTTCCTGTGTGTTTAACATTCAGTATAACAATAGATGTTAAGTTGTTTTATATACGGTAATTCTCATTTTTCTTTTTTAAAAAAAGTGTAATTTCTTCATGTCATTTGAAGACAAGCACTCCATGTATATACATAAACTTTACAACTGCAGACTTCTGTATTTAAAAAAACAAACAGGGGGATTTCCTCCAATCAAGTTGCGCTTCTGGTGCAAGGAGTGCTGCCTCAGTCCTCTCTGAACTTTCTCTCTCTGCTTTTGTCCCAGCTCTGACATCCACATTAATGCATCCATAAAGCATTGATATTTATTTTGTTTTTTCGACCACTCACTCATCAGTCATAAGGCCAACAGTACCATGCTCAACACACAACCAACTCTCTTCACAGCATTTTGTCATCTGCTCACAATTCATTCTAGTTCTTTGTGGAATGTCAAGCTTCCAGCAAATACTCTGGGTCCATAGTCACTGTGGTCCAAGTCCCCCCACCCCCCCCTCCATTTACACTTGTAAGTCTTTATTTGTGTCTTTGATCAGTCCAGCTTGCGTGCGCCCAGTTTGAGTGGACCTTTAGCAGCTTTGCGCTCTGCACGTTTCGCTTCCAACTCTTTCCTCCTCTCCTCCCGTTTCTTTTTGGACAGCTCAGCCTTACTCAGACCTGGTTGACAACACAAAATGAGCAGTTCAATGCACAAGAATAGTAGTAAGTTACTAAGTGGTTATTCGTCAAGAATATGTTAGCCTTAGTGTTAAGTCTAAATCCATTTCTAAGCCCATAAAGGTTCAAGTTTCAGATGATGGGGCTGTCTGAGAGACTTACCCTGGTTACCATCCACTGACTCCCAACTCTCCTCGTTTCCCCAGTCTCCTGTCACCTCTGCACTCCAACCTTCTCCAGCCTGACGAGACACAGCACACCTGTTACTTTCATCTTCACGTTTCATCCTATTCTCTGTAGTTTCAATCTAAAAAAAAAACATGAATCGTCTCTGTCTATCTGTCTCCCCTCAGCACTCACCGTGGTGACAGCTGTGCTTCTCTGGGACACACTGGCAAACAGATCATTCTGTACAGCTCCCTTAGCTGCACTGCTGCTGTCCCAGTTATAATCGCTGGCTAACCGCACCCCTTCAGGCATGGGGAGCGCTGTACTTGTCAAGGTGGTGTCCGTGTCCTCCTCCCCCCAGTCATTTCCCCATCCCTCCTCGCCTGCAGAGCTCTGACCCTGCCCTTCCTTCTCATTAGACCAGCTGTCATCGGCATCCCAGCCTGAGCTGCTCCAATCAGAGCTCTGCTTTTTCACCGCCATGGAGGAGAACGACCCGCCCACCTAGATAAGGAAGAGATGATAAAAGAGTTACATGGATTCAAATCAAAGTTAGATAAAAAGCTCAAATTCAATACAGAGAACTTTAACTTCAAGGGTTTTAATCATCAGAAGCTCTTCTAGGCAGGAAAGTTGTAGCACAAAGAAAATCAAAAACATCCTGTGCACTGTTAATCACCTGTTTTTAACTAATTTATCAACAAGTGGCCAACTCAAAAGTCATGAACTTATTAGTAAAGGTTAATAAAGTAGTTATAATTGATCAACACTGTATTTATGAAACATTTCAAAAAGTTCTAAGAATTTCCTAATTTTTGCTTTTAATTATAGGTTGTGGGAATGTTATGACATATTTTCACAACCTTTCAGCTGAGTTTTAAACTGTACAATTTTCAAATAAAAGTAATAATAGGAATTTTATCATTAAGTCATAAATATCAGTTGTGTTTCGTGCATTAGGATTTAGGTAAGTATGGAATAATATTGTATAATATTGTATAAGTTGCTCATACTCCTCTGTCACTGGCCTTCTTTTTGGACGGTGCCGTTCCTGACCAGTCAGAGTTCCAGTCCTCTGGCTCGTTAAGCGCTTTCTCTGGCTCCTATGTGAGAAAGAGTAAATGTATACGAATAAAAATGAAAACAACACAATCGCACATGAGCCCATGTATCTAAACTATTTTCTGGTTGAACAAAAGTAAAATCCTACCTCCAAACTTCCCCAGTCCTCCTCTTCCCATCGTTCTCCTTTTGGCTCTCCGTCATTGTCCGTTAATTCAAGGGCTTGTGATTGGTCGGCACCACTAGAGGCAGCATTGTGAGCCGCAGAGGTTTGTGGAGTTTTTTCTTCAGAACCTTGTTAAAAGAAAGTAATAAAATGTATAAGGACCTCTGAAAGGAGAACCGTACATTTGTATTCAGAAAATCACATGTCTTAGGGAGACATTTTTTTCATATGTAAAAAAAAAGGTTTTAGTAAGTATTTTGTGGCTCAAGATTAAACTGTCAGTTGTGGATGATGCACCTGGCCCAACTGACAAGGACATTTAAAATGACAAAATCGTCTTTCTAATCGTCCATTGAGTGTCTAACAATCTTGTGAGGAAAACAAATCAGAAGTGATAAGCCTACCAGCTGCAGGTGCTCCATCAGGGTCACTTGTAGGGTTAGTGGGATCTGCAGCCCCACTGCCCTCAGTTCCTGTGCCCCCCTCCTGCCCTGGAGCGTTGCGGATCAGCTTGGAAGTTATCGAGGACATGCCGGTCACAGCCCAGCCGGCCCAGGAGGAAGAGGCCCCTGCAGGCTGAGCACATGATGCCACATCCTTTTCTGACGGACAGAGAGAAGAGGGGAATGAGTGAAGGAATAGAAGAGAAATCAACAACTACTAATTCTGCTTTTTGTTTTGCCCTGTAAACTGAACGAGGTACAAAAACAAATGAATATTGTACATCGGTGTGTATTCACAGGTTTTATTATGTGTATTTCACATACCTATATCAGCCAGCTTGGAGGGATCTTCTGAAACAATCTCCAGTTTGGAAAGAAAACTCTTGATGGCTTTAAAAGCCTGTCAGATGGAAAGGAGAGTGTGAATATCTGTGCAGAAATCAGGCCATGGAAATAAATACTGAGATTGAATCTCGCTCTTAAAATGAATTACTCCCTTAAAAAGACTACAACCTCCTAAAATATATACATAACTTTGCTGCTCAGAGTTAAAAACTAAAGACTCTTGAAAAAGAAACATTCAATATTTAATAACTGTGGCAAAAGGCAAAAGAAAACAGTTTTCCTTGTATTCACAAGTCATGTGTACCTGGTCCCTGACGCTCTTGTCAGGGTCAACAGTAATGGCACAGAGAGTGGGCAGGATGCGGGCTGCGATCTCCGTGATGCTGTAGAAGTTGTGTGTGGCAGCAAAGCCCAGTACTCCTGCAGAACGCGAGGCTGGAAACGGGTCTTTAGTAGCTCGGGAGAAGGCAGAAATCAGAACACGTTGGCGAGTCTGTAAAGAGATGGATCACAAAGTTCTTCAATTTAAACAGAACATTACTGGACTTTGGATGAAGTATTTGTTTGTTGTTGGACTTTACCCCAGCATTGAGGTAGGAGGCGATCTTGCCCAGGCAGACCGTGGTGTTACATCGGATAGGACCTTGCTCGTCTCTGGCCTGCAGTCGGGCAAAGTGCCGCATCAATTCTTGGTTCAGGTTAGTCTCATTTAACTTTGGTGCCAGCAGCAACATAGACTGGAGGAACAGAAGAACATACAGAGAAGAGTTGAGGAAAGAGCATCGCGGCAGCATCCAGTACACCTGAAATGTAAAAAGGATACCTCCTGGATTGTGGTTAAGTGTGCAAACTACCTTAACAGTCTGTTCTCTGATGGCAGGGTTTGTGTCTGTGAAGCCGTGGACAACGTGAGGGAAAATCTGGGAATTCACGGCAGCCTCGTTCAGGTATTGAATGAACTGCTCCATCTGAGAAAGAGAAAAATAGTGTCAGTCAAAAAAAATGGTATTAAGCTAAAGCACAGCTGAGAAAGGCAATCATTTATTATAACGTACTTCTACTTCTTTTCCTGTTTCTAACCCGTATTTTCTGCCTTTTTAAGATAAACAGTATTTTTGGGGCAATTGTGTCTTTCTTCAAAAGGACAGTGGATGAAGTTGGAAATCAGGGAGGATTACATGCGGAAGAAGCCTCCAAGTGGGCTGGACTCAAACCTTGGCCGCCCACTTGGAGGACTACAGCCGCTATACATGGGGTGCAGTTTAACCGCTAGGCCACCTGATGACCCTGCTGTGTTTTTAGATTTATTTTGGTAGCTAGATTTATTTTGGGGCTTTTTATGTCTTTACAAGAATGACAGGACAGTGGATAGAGTCAGAAATAGGGAACAGAGAGATTGGGGAATGACAATGCTAGAAAGGAGTCACAGGTCAGATACAAACCCAGGCCAACCGTTTACAAGACCTCTGTACAGTAAATGGGGCGAGCTGACTATCCACTAGACTCCCCTCTGTGCATTATAGCTGTGTTCTTTAATTGCATGTAGCATTGGAAAATTCAATGGGAAAAAAAACCTAGATCCCTGAAAGAGATGCTCAGTGGCTAGATGAAGGGCTTTTCACACCTGCTGCAGCAGCCGTATCCTCATGGCTCTGTCTGTGGAGGAAAACATCTTCACAATAACAGGGATGATCTTCTGTTGGTACTCTTCTGCTGACAGGAACTTTCCAACCTGGCAGACACACAGAAAAATTAAATCAGATAAAACAAGAATGGGTAGAGGGAACCTGAAATGAATTGTACACAACGATACTAAAACCAATAAAACCAGGTCTCACTTCAACATTTCCTGCAAAAAAGATTCAACTTTGTTTTACATTGTAAAACTGTTTAACTTTATTTTCTAGGACTCTTTCAATCAAAAGAGCACTCAACAAGGTTTATTTACAGAACAATATACTGCTGTTTTCTGTAAATGCATGATTAAAAAGTCTGCTAAAAAGTCTTGCAGCTTCACCTTAAAGAGGGGCGTGAGGACGACGGCGCCTGCGTTGCCAAACTCGAAGGCGGTGAGCAGCTGAGGCAGGACCTTGTGTTTACAAAAGTCCTCAGGGAAGGAGTCTAGATTGTCACTTAGATCCTGAAAGAACTGTTGCTTCTCAGCTGGCTCCTTGATCTGGAGAGAGATAAAGTTTTAGAATATCCTTTAATTACAACCCATGGCTTCTTTCCAGTGGTACTTGCTGGCATTTGCTTCATCAAATTAAACTGAGTTCCACACAGGATCCCAAAAGAACTTCCATCAATTACATTGATGTGACCTTATTGGTGAAGTATGTTTAAAGCGCTAAAAGCAAACCCCACAGTAATCATAATTAAGTGAGTCTGTATGTAAATCTGTGCACCTGGATCTCCTCCAGGAAAAGGTTACTCTCCACAAAGCTGTTGCTGAGGAATCCTCCCGGGGCTCTAGAGTTCTGGAGAAAGCGGGCTGGGTTGGGTCGAGCTCGAGGGTTAGCTCCTACCAGCTCACAATAGTGAGGCACCAGAGCCTTGGGGATCTGATGGCACAAAGAGGACACAAAAGAGGGAAGTCAACTCTGTCAACAAAAACCACACCAAAAAAACAAAGACTTTGGCTAACACTGAACTGCTGGCTCAAATCATTGTGAAGGTCAATGATATCTCTTCTCAAATTATTTTCCTGATTTTGTATTAAATAATACAATACAATGTAAATATATACTGTATATCCAATTAAAATGTTTGTTTTTTTAGTTTATCTTACATCTTCACATTCATTAAAAAAAAACTACAAAACAACCTGAATTACATTTACAATGTTGAAGCGAAATTTTGTACCGGCATAACAATAGTGCAGTTATTGCAGAAAAGAACAATGGAGGTATTGTACCTTTCCCAGTGAACGGAGGGAGGATGTGCGAGGTAGTGGCCCGTTGAACACCTCCCAGATCAGGCAGCCTAGTCGCCAAACCTCCCCTGCCCTGCAACCAACACACTCACACTTCAGCACTACGTTTCAACACAAACCAGGGATTAACCAGAACCAGAATTCATCAGATATCATTTCCTCTAGATCTTCTTTATGCAGCTTCCTTATCCTCCTGTATGACAAATTACAAGTCTGAACTGCTCTTCTCAGTTTGTGTTTTTGATGGTGTTGATAATATGATTGTTTAGCACATAAATGAAGCTGCTTCATAGTCTTCCCTGCTTGCCAGTATGTTCTTCTCCACTGGTTCCTTGCTTCTCCTAATATGTTTAATTACAAGTAGTATTAAAGGGGAAAAAGCTGTCATCATAGTGTTGGACTCTGTGGCTTTGTACACCATCTTGGATTTTGCATCTTCCATTAATCACGTCTAGCCTCTAAAGACTTGAATTAGCACATCAGGAAAATTTCAAGGGCAGGTTATCCTTAAATGAGAACACATGTGAAATCAGCTTTACACTCCTGTCTTACCATTTTTCTCCACTGCTATTAGGCGTCTCAGGAGGGTCATATTTCTCCATGTCTGGGTAAACAGCCTTGGGGGTAGGGAGCGAGACCCCACTCGGGTCACCCTGCTCAGGGGCCACATGGTCAAGGCCCCCGAGCTTCCACTCTCCGGCTCGATCCACAAAAACAGACCATACACCCAAGTTGTTGTGCAGCAGGTGGCAGTCGTTGACCAGGAAACTTAAAGCTTTCTGCGAGAGATTGTGGAAAAACTTACAGAACCGGTGGCAGAACTATGGCTCCCCTGACAGTATCACGTGGCTTACCATTGACTACTTACCACTATCTGATGCAGTCCCCAGGACACTTCCAGGTCACCAGCTCCACCTTTCTCTGCCTGGGCCTTCAGGTGGACTGAAAGGGACGTCACCTGCTCAGTAACCAGGTACAGGCTCTTCTCTGTCTGTGAAATACACACATGAATTCAAATGAAAACTGATTAAGTTAAATGTAAATTGATGTGTTTGGATAAATGGTGATTTTTTTTGTGGATAACCTTGAGTGAAATAAAACCTCTGCATAATAAGTTGAATGAAATTTATAACAACATATAATGAGGATGTACTAGTATACGTTTTAGTCTTCTTTGATATGTATTTGACATAATCTTGTGTTTATTATCCACTTAACAGTATTGTTCATTGTATATGTAAATTACTAAATCTTAATCTTAAATTTATTTGGTGTGAAACAGCACAGCATCACACAAATCTAAAAAAAAAACAGCATAAGAATTGGCTTCATACTACTCACAACAACGTTTCTACAATAATATCAAAAGGACTATAGAGGCATAATCACACTCACCTCTACCTGAACGTAAACATGCAGAGAAAAACAAACAATGGGGATGAGACACTCAGTATATGGAGGTTACATGACAAAAGGTTATTCCTTAGTCTCTTAGCTAAGCACAGTGAACTTATTTCTAAAAAAAGCAAACATGGCAGTGTGTGGAGGCCCAAAATGTGTGCAAATCACTCACAAAGAAGGCCATACCTCCAAACCATCGACATAAGCCAGGATGTTAGGATGCCTGAGGGTCTTCATGCGCTTGAACGCAGCCTTGGCCAGCTGGGTCTGCTGCTCTGTCCCCTGTGCTACCTCGTACACGAACACCGACACTGGCTCTCCATTGGTCTGAGAAAACAGATTTGAGGTGAAATGACTCACTCGGAATAACACACATTTGACATTCATAGGCTTTGTGATTAAAATCGAGCACAAAACTGTCACAGTTCTGCATCTGTTTATGCAGAAACTCCAGTAAACATGAATAAAACAGGAACATGGTGCTTATACGGCCCTTCAGTCATGATGATGTTGACAGTTCAGATTGACCCGCTCGACGATAACAAAAAAGGGGTACGTGGGTAATGTAGGGTACACCTCACAGGTGAAGGACAGACCCTTTATTGATGCCATAAAACATAAAGATTGAAAACTATGCCAAGTGCAGTTGTTAACTGCACTAAAACAGGGTGACGTGGCGAGAAATACGTGTGTGCGCCCTGGAGTAAACAAAGAGCTGCCGAGGGAGGGAGCGCAAACTTAACATTTACGTGTAGCAAGCAGATTATAAATAAACCTGCAGTGACAATGAAACAGCGACAAATATTAGAAAGCTACTGAAAACAATGTCATATGACGTCGTGAAGGAAACCACCGGCCATTGATTTAAATGCTAGCCAGCCGGCTAAGTGACGGGGCCTCCGCGACGAAGCTGGGCCAGCTAACAGTGAGCGTCAGCGGCTCTGCCTCGCCTCACCTTTCGCTTCCCCCGGTGAAGGGTCCATATTCCAGATTCCTCCTGGGAGTCTGGCAGGATTTCATATGCAAAGTCTTTGACAGGATCCCTGGCAAAAAAGGACCACATCTCCTATTACCTCCACACCGCATCAAACACACACACACACACTCACGGGAGGATAAAACAGTCAGCTAAGTGAGGCTGGTTTAGCAAGTGGCACGAATGTAAAATGGCTCGGTGTAAACTTTTGCGTCTGCAGATTGGTTCCGCTAATACAACATTTTAAATAATATTTATCAAATATATACATACTTTCATGAATTGTTAGGAAGTCACCTAAAGAAATGCTGTACAAGCCTTTCTATTGTTTGACATGTTTATTGAGGTAACAGAAAAAGCCTGAGTCAACATCAGACAATAAAGACAATTATGATATGAACACCAAAACAAGCTAAAATGCTCCAAATATTTTGAAAAATAAATTGTAAATTCGTGAAATAAATTACTGAATAAATACAAACGCAGGCTGAAAAGGGGAAGATATAATTTCACCTCCATTCAGAACTTACTGCCTATTAATGCAGTCACACTGTGCACTGTACAGATGCCAAAGCTGGACCTGCCCCCTCTGTATTAATATCCAAGGGGAGTCATTATGTTGTCCTCTTCACTTTTATGTCTTTGAGATTGTTTTAAGATGTTTTTTACAATGGGATAAAAAAACAACATATTTTTTCAACAATAACTCACTGACTCTCCAACAAGTAACAATACTATAAATTAGACTTTGGGTGAGGGGTGAGGGGCTCCTTACAGTATCTCCCAAGAGACCCAATGTGTATCGGGCTGGCATGAGAGATCTTGAGAAAATCTTAACTTTCTTAACTTATTTCCAAGTTAAGTCCCAATGACTAGATATCAACAGAATCTGGGTGATTAGGTGCATGAGACTTTTTACTGGAGAGAGTTTACCAGAATGGACACAGATAGTTAAACAGGACAAAGGGTCTGTTAGTTAATCCCACTAAGATATTTCTGTAGTAAAAAAAACACACAAATAAAAAAAAAGTTATGTTTAAGGGACTAACCCTGGCCTATATCCTTTGCTTGTCTAACATGACCCTGACAACTACACATGACCCTGCTGATCAGTGTTTTCTGCCATATTTCCAGGCATGTACAGCTTAAAGATGCAATAGAAACAACTTGTTTACTTTGGATGTGTTTTTCAAACTTCTTTAATTTTCTGGATCCTAATCTAATCTACATTGAGCAGATATCGTACATCTGTATAACAGTGTGGTCAGAGGTTATCTCAATTGTCATTTAATGTAAACATTATAACTTTCTACTTAAACTTGTATTTAGTGTAATTGTTTATCCACAATGTTGATGTTACATGTTAATGCATACTATCAAGAAGGTCTGGTTTGCAGTTGATATGTAAATGGAAACTGGTTGGCTCTGATACTGCTTAAGAAATGTTTTTTGCTTAAATTTCTAGTACTGTTACACTGTTCAACAAAAAGGTTGTAAAGGAGAACATCCTTCATATTATTATTGGGGAAAATGAAAGGAATGCAAGTGTCTCCGTAATACTGTTGTGAACAGTTAATATCAACTCATGCTGTGTATAAAAAATACTGGCCATGTGGATTGGTGCTGTGTGGGTGACTCAATGAGGCAGTGATTTTTTTCTTTCGCATTTAAACCCATATCAACACACTTTGAGGTAACAAATAGACATGACTTGTGTAGTAACACCTTCCTTAGACATAAACATTTTTGAAACACATGTATCCAACTGATTTGTAAAAAATATATTTCTAAACACAGGGTTTGTGAAGTTTCAAATGTAATGTCTTATTAGCACAAATAGGTACATCACTGTCACAGAAGTCAAGACAGAAAACAATTCCTGTAATCCATTCCACTATTATTTTCTAGCTATAGTCACATCAGATGCGATTTAAAATATGCAGAATTGCTCTGCAAGTGCACACTGCAGTGTATTACTTTTAAAGACTTCCAGATTTCTAAGAATCTAAATTTAAAGTCAAGTGCTCCAATATTAACTCAAAATAATGGGTCATAGGCCCAGATCATAACATGGAAACTCAGCCTTTTTAGTGAACAAAAAAAGAAAATTCAAAAGTTGACCCACAAATAATAGCTTTATTGAACCGATACAATGCAGCAATTTCCTTTTGCAAAGCCTTTAGTCTAAAGCAATTCAAAGACTAAGTACAACACAAGCAAGCATCTGGACAAAAACAATGTCAGCAAGTTACAATTTAACAAACAGCTTCCAGTTAGGAAGTGCACATAGTAAATGTATAAGGTGTACAGCAGCAGCTTCTATAACACTATCATGTTCATGAATATTCAAATCATCAGAATCAATTTAGCTTTTGCCCCAAATGACCCAATGGAGTTTTGCAATCCAGTCCCCCCCCACAGGGATTTCAAAGGAGCCGAGTCTAGCTAGCGATTTGGGGCCCTGTTGTGAAGGTAGGACCAGACCCCCCCTTCATTGGCAGTGTAGTTGAGAAAAGGGAGTGTCATGAGAGGGAGGTCAGGTAGGTACTAGAGTCTATTTACAATTCTATGAAAGCTTTCACAATTTTAACATGTTAATGTTAGCATTGTAATTACAGATCATACACAACTACTTAGCAAGAAACATTTTTTGCCAGAATAATTATAAAAGTGATAATTATCCTTTCATGGCCTCTTTCATCCCAAGCATTGTTACTGTTCCCCAGCAACTACACTGTACTTGTGTGCAACTATTCTGATATCTCTTAAACCAAAATACCTCCATCCCTGGTGAAGTTTGTCATTTGCAGTATGGTGAGACCTTTCATCAAAAACAGACAGTGAGGAGATGACTGACTACCTTTAGCTACAGAATTCCAGTTATTAAATACCTCATCTACCCGTGACTTCACTACATGTACTGAAGTTAACCCTCTACCCCCACACAGCGCACAATTTCAAAGCAGACACCGCAGGGAGTTGAACCCTGTTACTGACAAAGTCAGAAGTGCCACCACCAGAGTCTTTTGCTTTTTGTTGTTGCTGTAATTAAGGGTAAAGCAAAACCTGGAGGAACAAGACCAGAAGTTTTGTTCCCCCCAGGAAAAGAAAACCCATTAACACCTGGCTGCTATATTATCCTGTCACGACATGGACTTTTTCTCATGGTCACGAAGCTGAAACTAGAAGAGAGAGAACTGGTTTCCCCAATCCCCAGCATTCCCCAACTACATGGCATTTGTGTTTGACTGATAAGACATCATTTAATCAATAATTACAAAGCCAAGATACAAATATCCCTGCTGATACCCAAAAGCTGTTTATCCTTTGCAATTCGGCAGGACTCGCGGGCCAAATACAGACAGAAGGCTTGCTCACCAAGGTTACAGCTGTAATAGAAAGACACAAACAATTTAAGCCACCCCACCCCCCTCCCACATACAACCACAATTAAACCAAATATGATAAATTATGCCTGTATGGTTAGAGATTACCACAACTTCAGTAACATCATTTATCAAAGCTCTTCTTCCACAGTGATGCGCAATCCTTCAAAGTTTACACGTGTACCCCAAGGGAGACCTGTACCAAGTGATCCCATGATTCCCTGCAGTGCAATACGTCGCCTGGCTCAGTATCAAGTTTAGCTGAACGAGATGTCTGAAAGGAAGAGAGAAGAGTGTTGCCCGCCCCCCCCCAAAAAACCAGACTAAATACTGCAATGTTTGACAACTTCATGATTATGTTGTTTCACAAATAAATTGTTATGCAAAGCCGATGTGCATGCAAATATGTTGAGTTACACATTAAAGCCATGGTATGTTAAAGAAAAATCAAGGGAACCGAAATTACTTAACTCAGCACCCATGACACTGAAGTGATGCAGTATTAGCGAAACAAGCTTGCAGCTCTTGATCTCAACGTGACTGGATTCTCAGTGTTCCATCACAGGTTAGGCCATCCCAGATGAAATATAAAGATTACTTTTAGGTAATTTGACCTGAGAAACCAAAGGGGAAAGAAAAAGGCACACACAAACACAGAGAGCAGGGCTTCTGCGAAGGACGTTGGAGGGGATTCGGATTTAAGCTCAAGCGCACAGGGGATTGGCACTTCATTCGGGAGCCACACTCATATTCGCTGACAGCTTCCACAGATGACTTTGCATTCAGAGGCAGGCGAGATCGGAGCGGACAGACGAAAATGATCTGAAACAAAGAGTGATCTACACAACACACCCACCAAACACAAAGATTCGAGTTCTACTCATCTTATGGTTTAAGATGCAAAGCAATAAGGCCCTGTGGCCAAAGAGGAATATGCTAGTAAAGCATTGTTACTTCTGATTTGAGGTTAACATAAAGCCAGTTCCAAGGTGTCATTTTGTCAACTAGAACATTGCATGAGTTTATGTCAACAAGTCAACATCTTACTACATGCTCCAGGTCAGAGGCCTTCACTTGTACTTGAACCAGTCTTGGTCTCTCTGTTTTCTGTAAAGAGAAGTGGAATACGCCGCAACAATATACCAATGCATAAATTAACTAAGGCAACACATTTGCGCTGCATTTTAAGACTGAATTTCAGCTGTACCATGCACAGCTTTCCTCAGCTGCTTAAATTTGGGAAGATCGTACAGTTGCACGATACAAAGTACATTAATGATAACCTGCCACCTGCACAGTTGCGCAAGGGCTAGCAGCTGAGAACTAATTGTGACAAAATCTGTAAACATCAAAATAACCTGACTCCACTTGCTCAAACTGTGTGATGGTTGATTGAAGGGGCAGGATGACTCCTTTAGTCTTAGGTAGACTGCATTCTTCCTTTGGACTGTTCTGAAAGATCAGAGGCAGACAAGAAACACCCCTATAACCCCCCCACATGGATCAAAGAACTGACTATTGTTATGCTTACCCAAATGCTTTACTGCAGATATCAGAATCAATGAAGGTCCATCAAATCATCAAAAGACTCTTGTTAAGAAAGCACAGCAGTGCTATATCTACTCTCAAGTACAGCAAGTTGCCGTCATTTCAACAATGAGGGCAGTTTTGCACAGTCAAGATACAAGTGACCATTCAAGGGTTGAGAAGTTTCTGCTTTCCAACATTATAATTTGATGGATTCAACTTATCTGCCTTCAATTTTCCACTTTGAAAGGATGTCATTCGGGCCCAGGTCA